TGGGGTGTCTTTGATTAGCTCTGAACCGATGGTAGGCTTGAATCCTCTGGGTTGGCTATGTCCTTCCAGCAGGCCAGGTGCTTCTTGTAAGCAGGTCATTATTCTACAGTCGTTCTAGGAAGCGGAAGTAGTATTAGGGATCTCAGAATTAGTCTCTAGATGCAAGATTCCCTTACTCTGTCCTGTAAAAAGCATATATTGGTGACCACCAAGCACCCTGGGTTTGTTACCTGTAAATAGCACTGCTGCCTGTGACTCAGCTGTGGCTTTTCCAGATCTGTGGCTCAGGACAATGTTTCTTTCTTTGTACRGAAATAGCCACTGGAAGTGTTTCARTGCTATTTAGTTTCATATCATCTTTCCTTTTTTAAAATAAGTTGCAGTGTAAGAAAGCAACAATAAAACCTTAATTACACAATCCAATTTTGTACATGCTCAAAGTGAGCCACTCTGGGATTGTATAACTGTAACCTTTTGTCCTCATCTCCACCCTGCTGCGTGTCACTGTCCTTCCCTGAAGTGCTCCTCTGGCTGTTAGGAGCTTTTGTCATCTTAAAACACACTTCTATGCAGAAAGGCTCAACCAAAGCTTCCATTGAATATGGAAACGTACTATCTGATCTCTAAGTAGAGACAGCTAGAAACTCTTCCAGATATTTTGGGAGGATACCTGGGTGCAGAATAATGTCTTGATTTTTTCTGTAGTGGAGCATGTGCATCTGTGAGAAGAGGGAAGACTTTTGGGCTCGTGGCTTGGGAAAATGCAGCTACTTTCTCATTTCCTTGTTTTTTCCACCCTTTGTGGTGGTGGAAATGTTTTATCTTTTCTGTCTCTGAAGCCTTTTGCAAACAGAATCCTCATAAATTCCCCCTGTACTTTTGATGCATGCTGGGGGTTTTGGGGTTATTTTCGCTTTATCTTTTAGGCTGTGCCTGTGTTCTGCTAAAGAGAAACCTTGATCTTCCCCRGAGGTTTTGCCAGTGGAGCACAGCAGGAGGGGTTTGTGCTTCCCTCTGTGGCTTTAGAAGCACCTTGTAGTTCTCWGCTTTGTGATGTATGTCTCAAGTGGGAGGCATTCCCCTCTCCAGGTCCTGTTAAGCTTCTTAGCTTGTCACATTGAGGGAAACGTAAGTGTCAGACCTCTCTAGTGTAAATTCTTTGGTGCCACTGCCTTGAATTCCCCTTGAAGCAGGCAGAACCCCAGATCTGGCAGATGTGGGAACCTTGGTCCCATCCTGCAGTCTGAGGGCACAGGTCACTGTTTGTCCTTGGTTCACAGAGAAGCAGATGTCCAGAAGGCTGAGCCTGATGCTRTGTGTCTGTCCCTGTCCCAGTATGTATGTGGCTTGTGTTCTGTTGCCTTACTGCCTATCATAACAAGTTAAAAATACACACTGGTGTTTTTCTACAGTGTAGGTAGAGCATTCCTTTGAAAGTTCAAGTGGGAAAGTGATAGGCATTGGCAAAAATCTGCTGCTTTCAACTGGTGCCAAAGGGAGTTTGTCCGTTTCCCGTTTCACTTGTCTCAAGGTCATTTTCAGCATCTTTTGAAGAAGCTCTACTTACTCCTGCCTGTAATGCTGTGGTTGATCCCATGTCTGGGTTGTAGGTGCAAATCCAGCAACTACATTTTAAACAGTCAATGAAGCTTTCAAGAAACAACTGAAAAAATGATGCCTGAGCTGGTAGAAATGCCTTGCAGYGAGAGCCATGGAGCTCAATCTGCTCAGCTCTGGAGAGTTGCCAGTGTGCAYGTACCCTTTGTGCCATGAAAATACTGTTCTCAGACTCTTAAACCTGGCACAGAAAGTCACAGTGAACACAAATGCTTGTCCTCGGTTTTAGCTGATTGCAGTCAGTGTGGGCATTGGTATAAACATATCATGTATATTCTACTTGAATGGAATGCAGAGGTTTGTACATAAAGTCTGATCCAGTGGCAGCATGGACAGTTCTGTTCTTGAAGTGGAGGTCGAGGGGAGAGTGGAGAAGGCATTTTATGCCAACAAGGACAAAGAAACAAACACATGCAAAAAAAATGAGTGTAGGAGGGGGCAAAACCACAAGTCCAGACCCTGGCTGGTAAAAAGTATGCCAGAAGTCCATAGGTCTGTATGCTGTCCTGACTCTCATAGCTCTTTTGATGCTTTTTAGTTTCTTCTGATGCTAATTCTCTTTATTTTGTTTCCCTGTTCAGTATGTCGAGACTTCGCTATTCTGGAAGATCATACCTTGGCCCATAATTTACAGGAACAAGAGAGTAAGTAACAATGATCTTTAGAGCAAACTGAAACAAGCTTGTCCCAGCAGATATCTGGCTTTATTTGATTTTGCTAAGAGAAATGTTTCCTGCTTTTATTTAATTTTTATTCTTTTTAATGGAATACAGTTTATTATTGCTGTCTTCACTATCCTGTAAYGCTACACTTTACTCTGCTCCAGCTCACATTGTACCCTAGAGATAGWTGCATTTTGTATTTCAATTTTGTGCTCTCCTTTAGAGGTGAGTTTGTTTATGCCGTTTATGATAGAATTGCATGTAGGAGTGCACTTGGGGTTTTGTTGCTGTGCAAGGTTTTTAGAAATGACTAGCAATTTTGGAAGCTTCAAGTTTTATAGTCTGACCTGAAGTACAACCAGAAGAAGTCTRATTGTTTACTTATTTCAGAATTGCCAGTGTCTGCCTTTTGAAAGAGCCTTCCTTTTCAGACATTTTGAGGGAGGGCAGCTTTACACTAGAAGGGTTTATAAAGACGAAAAAAAAAGTACAGCCAGGAACTTCAAAGTGACGGTTGCATTTTTTTAATTTCTTTTTTTTTTTAATAATATGCTTATCTGTTACTTTGGGTATGTTTACATTGCAGTTTCAGGTGTGGTGGCCTCTCTAATCAGCYTCTCACCCATTTGGTGTCTGCCAGTACCAGGTGCTGATGCCATTCCAGCTGCTTCCCCAAGGGTGCAGCTGCTTGTGCCCTTGGTGCTGGAACCTGAGACCACTGAATTAAAGACRACTCTGGGCTGCAGCTCATGTAGCTGTTTTTTCTGGCAGGCRATATCCATGTATGGTAAAGGGCTCACTGGAGTACTGAGCTGCTCTGTTGCTAAATATAAAGGTAGTGAGATTTTTGGAACTGATTATGCTGAGAGTGAGAGGAGTTTTCTTCTCTAGAGGTTCTTGAGAGCAAATTAGGGAAGTAGSCATAAGAAGGGGTTTAGGTTCAGCTCATCCTCACATGCCTCTGGAGGTCCCTCCCAGATTCATTTCATTCATCTAGGGTGAATTTCCATGGTCAGAAAAATGAAATTTAAAGCCTAAAACCCATTCCCTATAAACCTGGATGTGTTAAGATATGCAGAACTTGTTTTGGTAACAGACACRTACACAGCCCCCTCAGTGCTGAAAAGAGGCAATCTCAAGCTGCTCACATAATTTCAGTTCAGGACTTTCCCACCTTTAGAGAGATTGCTTGGTGTTTCCCTGCCAAGATCTGTCTTCCTTTCTGGGCTGGAATCTCCCTCCCACTTGGTTTATCTTGTTCACACAGTGAAGTTCTGCAGCCTGATTTGAGGGTTCTTGTCTGTGTTTATTTCCAGTTGAGCATCACTTGGCCACAAATGTTCAGCGTAATCGTCTGGTGCAACATGACTTGCAGATGGCCAAGCAACTGCAAGAAGAGGAGGATAAGAAAGCCCGTGCTCAAATCCAGAAACACCAAAAAGATTTGTGAGTTTGTGCTGGAGCTGTTGGAATAAGTATGCTAGTCCCATTTGGTCAGAGYACTGAGATCAGCTGCTTTAAATGGACAGTGTGTGGGGTGCAGCTTCAGCCTTTTGCTTTTGTTTCTTTTTTACTTTGGCTGTCCATTGATGTGAAAGTATTGATACCAGGCTCTGGCCATAGGGTAATGAAAACAGGGTGAGTAGGTGGTCCTGGAGCCCATCCTGCCTTAGATTCTGTTGTTGTCCACGAGAAGAGCCTTCCCATTGTACTGCTTGCCAAAATGGAGGAACTTGACCACTTTTGTTGACCTTGTCCCTGGCTGAAGTTKGAGAGAGAAGGAACTGTGCCACAGAAATACCCAGTATTACAGGAGATTCTCTCTTGCAGATATTGACATATTTGCAGATATTGGCATGTTTGCTCTGAGCCTGATGAGTGCTTTTGAGGAGCTGGGTGCAATGCTTTCTGGTGCCCTGCTGCGCTGTCTGCTGAGAAAGAGCCCCTGCTTGTGCTTGCAGATATTGGCTGTGAAATGACCTGGGAAGGGGAATTGCTGCCCCAGGGTGGCTCSATGGGGGTGGGTGTTGGGGGACAGGCCTTCTCTTGCAGTCACTATCTTCTGTAGCAACTGTGGGAGGGTGGTTAATGAGAGATCCAGTTTGCTCTGCAGGTTTGCTCAGTCCCCACACACCACATCTTAACCCTGTGGCCTGTGGTTTGGCTCTCTCTTTGGAGCTGGTATAGAAGTGAAACATGGGAGCACAGGGTAAAACAAACTGTGCTTTCCAATCCAGAGTGGACTTGTAGAGCACTGGATGTAACAGATGGTTCGTGTGACAGGGCTCAGGCAGATCCCACTCAGAGAGGCAGCAGGGTGGGGTCCCTGCAGATACAGGGTCTGCAAGGCAGGATGCATCTCCCAGCAGCTGTGCTGCCTCCTGGTTTTAGTTCTGCTCTGGGATGCCACCCACCAGGTGCAGTTGGTGGTGGATCCCAGAGCCTGGGTGGCTCCTCTGACAGGGCCAGCCRTGGAGCAGAGCAGCTCTGTGTTGCAGATGTGGGAGATACAGGACTGGCTTCAAAGCAGCGGCTCATGAAAGCTTTGAAGTTGGGGTGTGACAGATCAGCCACTGTTTTCAATGTTCCCAGCACACTGGGGCAGAYCTTATGTACATATGTATCTCTCAAGTCTGTGCTTTTTTCAATAGYTTTGTCTTTATTACCAATTAGAGATGTGAGTGAGTAAATGACAAYATAAAAATTGATTTTGTATGGCAGACATGATTCCTCTTTGTTACTTGCTGGGAGCTGCAAACAATTTTCTTGTTGTAGGACTCTGTAAAATGGGATTTACGAACTTCGTGAGCCAAAGCACAGGCAGAACTGCTGATGTAAAATGTTGTGTCAGCAGCAGTTCTGCTTCTGAGAGCAGGAGCTCTTCTGAAAGAATAGTAAAAGAAGTTGGAGGCTTCCTTTTGTAATTGGATCTTTTTCTTACTTAATTCTTTGTACATTCTCACTGTCTCTTCCTTGGCCAAGAGTAGCGTGKTCTGGCAACAAAATGAGAGAATAGAAACATTTCTTTTTAAGAATTCAGGRAAGCATCAAACCTTGTTTTCATGCTTCTTTAAAAGCATCTCTCGCATCTAGCTGAGCAACCTGCACACTGCTAAGCATAGTAGCAGATTACTAAAATAAAATAGTGTGAAAATATGTTCTTTCCATGTTTAGCTCCCAGTGTTGTGATGATTCTGTTGCACTGATGTGAACAGTTCCATTGAACAGTTCTCTTAAACATTCCCCTTTTTTTTTCCTCCTCATCTGGCAACAACTACATTAATTACTATCACTATGAATGGGAAGGAGCTTTCTGATCACACAGACTTTTGTTTTTTTTTCTCTTTTTTATAAACTCATGTAGAGTTTTCTGAACATTCTTAACAGTCCTGGCTGCCCAGGAGTGAAGGACACATGGTGGGGATGTTCAAGAATGGTGATATTTATGTTGCTCTRGCTGATTTTTGGGGTCTGATGGACACTTGAACTCACACTAAAGAAACTGAAGGACAAGAAGCTGTCAAAACTCTTGAACCTATTTTCTTATGCTCTCACAAGTGAATTCAYTTGTTTATGTTGGCTAACTAATCAAGTCTCAGAATTTAATTACTGCCGAGCAATAAACCCCCAAATTTAATCCTCTGTGGCTGTTCAGTTCKTAGGAATTGATGTGATGTATTCCAAGATGTGTCATCAGGAACAAGAAAATGCTTCCATATTTGTGAAACTTGTGTTCTTTGCTGTGAACAGAAAGGCAATGACCTTGTTGCCTTGGCTCTGAAAGATGATTAGTTGTTTTTCTGTCCTGTTTGTCTGCAATAGGATGTATTTTAAGCATTTAGCAAGTCAGTTTGTGCTGATGAACTTGGCAACTTAKCTCTGCTCACAGGTGCCAGGGGAACTGGAGACGTGCAACGCCTTGATGTGTCTGACCTTTATAACTTATTTTCTACCTGGTTTCATGTCCTCAGAGCCTGGGGTTGTGAGGGATCCAACACAGGCTCACTGACAACCTGCTCCCTGGGCTTTGCTTATGCAGTTACTGTTTTGCTGGGAGCTTTGGTTGTCTGCTGGTGCCAGGTTTGCCAAGGTCCCTTTTTAAAAAGCAGCTTCAAGAACTAGATTTGCTGCTGTGTGAACTCTCATGGTTTTGAACACATCTGTCCCCAGAGTCAAATCAAACACACAGGCACACGCCAAAATGGCCAGTTTTTATTGTGGGGTTGAAAGAAACTGATGTCATAAGATGTTTGACCTATTAATAATTCCAGCCTGATTGCAGGTGTGCTTCCAAGGAGGTGTTGACAAAAATATTCTTTTCCTTCCTGCCATGCTTTTTTTTTTGCCTCTGACAAATGAGTTGTTTCTTGGTGACATTTGTCCTCTAAACCTTCTTGTTGCAATGGCCTTCCTCTCCACCCTTACCACATATCCACCATTTCTATTTCTCTCATTCTTCTTCACWTTCTGTAAAAGAAGGCTCGCTTGTGCTGCTGGCTGCTTCAGCTGTGACACGTTTCTTGGTTTTGCAACAGAAAGTGCTTGTCTGCACTTAAAAGCATTTTAAGTTCCTCTTCACATGTCCTAGAGTCTCTTCCAGTCCTTTACCTCTAGATTCACTGGATCATTTTTGCCCAGATTCTTGCTCAAACCTCGAACTAGTTGCTCCAGCCCATGTAGCACAGCTTTGACGCAGCTCAGCCTCCTTCAATTATTTGCTTATCTTCCATAACATGCTCTTGGTAATCTTCTCATCACCTGTCTGATCACTGTCAGTGTATTCTTCAAAAGATTGTATTCTAATAAAGCAGGCTCTCCTTGTTGCTGCTCCTGGCTGCTCTCCTTCTATACCTTGCCTTTCAGTAGTTGCAATTGCAGGGATTGACTTTTCTGACCTATTTAGAGCTGGTTTTTAGTTCAATCTCAACAGGACTGAAAGAGAGAGCTTTTAATCTTTCATCTCAAATCCCCCAGGCCTTTTCTGAACTGCCCTAAGGAATCCTTGGCCATTTTTCTAACCTGTTTGCTGGACACAGGAGCAGCTGAGTGTGGTGCTGTKCTTGCTGATGCTGTCCAGCCTTGTTGGTCTGTCTGCACAGCCAAAACTGTCATGTCTCAATTGCTCTGATCTCTTCCTGTCCCTTGTGGTCCTACATCCACACTGCCACTGTGGCAGACGTGCCCTCCCCCTTGTTTTGACACACRTTGCTCCCTTGCCTCATGGCATTGGTCCTGCTTTTGTGTCTCGTCCCACGTCAGTGGCATTTCTCATTCGTTACTGAGCTGCCACCTCCAGCCTCCATGMCATATTCCTGCACTTTCTTCTCCGTGCCTTACACATGGAAACCACTTCCCAGAAATCCCTGCATTAACCATAGCCCTGAACCCCTCCTTTGATACCACATGTTCAAAAACTCTGCAGAATTAGGTTGTTTGCAGACTCCTGAGCACTACCTTGGCCTGCCCTATTTTGTGGTACCTATCTCCTTTCTTAGCAATCTGCCCATGAATCTCTTTTGCTTTGTACTCTGTGGATGTCTTGGGAAGTATTTTCTAAATTTGGCCACCAGTAAGTACAGGGAGTCCTGGTCCCTGGTGAGGATTCATAGCTCTGCACTAACACTGACTAATAATTCTTTTGTGTAAATCAGTTGGATTTTTTTTAGCTCTTTTATGCCTTTCTCCAGGCTGACTGATGCCTGTGACTTCAGCTACCTATAATCCCTGTCTCCTTGCCTTCTAGGGAACGACAGGACTGTGAGATTGCTCAGGAAATCCAAGTGAAGCTTGCATTTGAAGCGGAGGAGCGCCGCAGGCAAGAGGAAAAAGACGAGGTAACCTTTATAGCTGCAGGGATGGCAAGGCTATTTGTAGCAGCCCTTTCAGGACAGACATTTCTTGGCCAGTAGCCACAGGAGTTGGCTTGCATGGTGGCAATATTCATCCTGAAAGATCTCTGTATGCACAGAGATTTTGGGGAGTCCTGTTACAGGAATAAGATACAGTCATGGTCCTCACACTCAAGGGTCATAAGGGTTGTTGATGCCAGTGGCCTTGCTAATGAAGAGGGCAAGTAATAGGCAAGTGTTGCTGAGGTGTTTATTGCCCTAGTGTAGGAAGTTGTGATTGTTTATGCACTCCGAGACTTGCCTGCTTTCTCAAATGCAAGAAGATACTCTTGGGAGAATCCTGGATCATGATTTTTTTGTGTTTGACGCAAAGATTTCAGCAGGACTATCAGCCCAGCCATCTGTTTCTGGCTTCTTCATTGCTCAGTTTCACCTTTTACAGTCTGAACACCCTGTTAYAGTTTCTTGCTAGCAGATTCCTTTTGTGACTTCAGAATGTTGCTCTGTTACTGTTGCTTGAGAGTGGGCAGTGCGCTTTGTTTGTGGTGTACAAAGGATTTGGGTTTTTGGTCACCTGATTGGGTCAGCCTGTCAGACCGAGKTTTCAGGAAACCCTCAGAGTAGAGGAACACCCATGTGAGCCTGGAGTGTGTCCCCATTTTTTATTGCAGATGGTTTCCTGAGAAATCTKAGTAGTCTGAAGAAGTACAAGAGGCACTTGGGTGGCATTTTCTGTATAGAAAGAGCTTGACGACAAGGCTGTGTTTCCTGGAAGAGCCCTTACCTGACAGATGCATCAGGTTTTTGGTTTTTTTTTTTTTTTTTTTCAAGACTTCACTTTCTTCTTCTACCATTAATTCCAAGCAAGTTCTGAAAGGCTGCCCGAACAGATGGGAAAGGCTTGGCTTCCAAGAGGAGCTTGTGGTAATAGGGTGGGAGGAACACTTTGGCTACAGGATTCGTCCTAAAGAGGTAGCAATCTTTTAGCAATCCATCTTATTTTTATGAGGAAGGTGAAAGAGATGCAAAACTAATGCTGACTTGGGGAATTGCACCTTTCCCTCCTGCTTTATGCAGAGAACTGCAGGGATGTCAGCTCTGCCAATGGGTCTTTGTCACTCCAGCCTGCTGACCATTCTGTGCAGTTGGGATCAGGCTTCAGCTGACTGTGGCTTAAAGCAAGAAGTCCTAAATATTCTTGCTCTTCCTGCTTGTATGTGTGAAGTTCCCAAATGTGGCTGAAAKGTAGCTGAGGGCTGTGGCAGATCCTTTCTGGAGTACAGGGCTTTTAAATGAAGCACTAAGCTTGCCTGCCCTGCCTGCTTATGAATCCTGTTTGTAAGAAGTGGTTTGTGTGGATTTGCAAGTTCTGAGCTGTCTCAGTCCTGGAGATAATGTGCTTAAGCTCATATATTTATAAACTTACTGTACTTGCTGGAAGAGGTTAACCTTGTCAGGGGAAAGAGTTTGTGGAGGTTTTTTGTTTTTGTTTTGTTTGTTTTTCATTTTGTTTTGGGTTTTTTGGTTTTTTTTTGAAAATAACCTGTGGCATCCCCAGATTCTCCACAAAGCTGGTTTCAGAGCAGATCTTACCTGAATGCTGAAATAATAGTTTGAGCTTGAGCRGCCATCCAATATCCTCCAGTAGTGGCTTTGCTCTCAGGGGTGTTGACTCTTCGTTTGCATTTCAGCCATGCCTTTCCTGCCTGCAATGTCCACTTTACATGCATGGCTCTGTAAAGGTGCTGAGGATTAGGAAGGCTTAAATGAATAGCATCCAAAGGGGCAGYATGCCCTGCTGGTATCTCCCAGCTTTGCTCCATAGCTCCAACCTGGCTCCGCTGGCTTGCAAGCAGCTGGGCCTCAGAGGAGCAAACTCCAGGGAGCTGTTTGCGGTTCCTGAGTCTTTTTGATCCATTAGTCATCTCGAAGGAAAACCAATTAGGAAAATGGAGTGCTCTTCTCTTTGGCATATCTACCAAAACCGTGACAGAAGACAAACGGCTGCAGTGCCTCCTGTGCTCCTGCCTTGTGCCTAGTTTGCTCTTCCTAATGTCCTTTCRATTTTCTTTTCCTTCAAGTCTCTGTCTGTCAAACTGATGCATTTCCCTGCCTGGCATCCTATAGTCCCTGCAAATTACAGCCWGTGTGAAGTGAGTTCATGATTTGCTGTGGGAGCTCCTTCCAGTCAGGAGTGCCTTTTGCTGGACACAGCCTTGCCTTTGTGTTGTTCTTTCCCTGGCAAAGTGCAGGAGGGAGATCCAGCCCACTCCTGTGAGTGGGTGTGCATTTCTGTGACTTCCAAATCCCYGTTGGAAGCCTGAGGTTGCACATGTAGTTGCTTCATTCAGGAGGAGCAGGAACCTGTGAGTCTGCCATGGGGTTGGAATTTCCATGCTGGGCCTGGGTGAGGTTAAATAAAGGTTGCTAAGATGGTCTCTTCTGTCATCCAATAATTTGAAAGCTTCATCCAGCCCAAGGGTTGAATTTGAGTAACTGTTGTTGCCATGTCTGAAAAATTACACTTTTTCAAAAAATTTTTAAAATAATTTTAGTAATTAAATAAAGAATTTTGATAAAATAATCTGAAGGTACTTTTTAGTGGTCATTTAATGTCTTTTCTTTTATCTCTGTAGGATATTGCCCGTCTCCTCCAACAGAAAGAACTGCAGGAAGAAAAAAAGCGCAAAAAGCACTACCCAGAGTCCCAGGGACGCACAGGCTATGAAGAGAGCTATTATGCAGAAAATGGAGGTATGTTTCTGCAAGATAAAAKGTCAAGACCATGGCAGTGTAGGTGAACCTGGTGATCTGACAATTCTGTTTCTGTTTCAGAAATTTCCCTTATCCTACAGTCCTGCATTTAGCACTGTAGCATTACATCAGTTTCCAGGGTCAGAATCAGATTATGTTGTAATCAGGAAATATTTAATTTTAAAAAAAAGCAGGGGAAGACAATTTAATAATTTTATTGTCCTTGAAAGTGGCCTAAAGRACAGGGATACAGGGTGTTGTGTGTGTGTGTGCAAGCACAGCCACACATGCGTGTGTTAAAAGTGTGGAAAAAGACAGTGGCTGATAAGGCAGTGACTGCTGARCAACACAGAGTGTGCAGGGGAGCAGTGCCCGTGCAATTCCATGCTTGCATTTGGAGAGAAGTGATTCCATGTGCTCATTTGTGATGCTGGCACAGCCACATGAAGAAATAAATGCTGGTTCATGGAGCTGTGTTTCAAAAATAGCTCCTTGCAGGTATGTACCCAAGCTGTAAAATTAGCACGACTGCCTTGAATGACTTACTGAAGAACAAGGTCATCTCCACAGAATGTCTCTGCTGTGATTATCATCTGGGACTGTGCAGTGTGCAAATGGTTTGATCCACAKCACTCTATTGTTTCCTTTTGGTCAGCTTTTGTGATTGAATACAGAACTTCTTTAAACTGGGAGGAGAGAATCAGGGTGTGTTTAATTATGGAGCAATCTGGGATGGCTTTGCTGTGCACTGGTGGTGGTTCCTGTGTTCTTTCTTCAAAAATGTGGTGGGGAAGATGGGTTGCTTTTGATTAACAGATTGTGAAGATGAAGATCAAACCTCATTTATCATTTTAACATCAATGCCATTGGCAGTTTTAAAGTCTTTCATTTGAACTTACATGAAGTATTTTAGTTTCAGTTTGGAAGAAGTTCAAAGATTGCCAAGAATGTGCAAAGCACAAAGTTCAAAAGTGCAAAACAGTAACCAAATGGAAATTTCATGACTGAAAGTCCTGCTACATGTAYAAAGCTGGGAAAAATTGATCTTGGAGTCTTATGGCCAATCCACACTTCTGGTTTTTAGAATTAGATGGGAGAAGTCTCTGAAGAAATAAAAGTAACTGTGTGCATGCAGAGATGGTCGGACCAGATGGATTTTTTGTAATATGTCAACTGTCAAAAGCCCATGACCTTCTAAAGTGAGACTGTGGAGTGGATTTGGAAACCAGGGTATCTTGTAGGTATAAGTTTTCTTCCTGCAATAATCCAAAATTTTGAAGCTGAGGTAGGAGGTGTTTGTCTGACCACTCATAGTASTGCTGCTCTTGATCTTCATTCCTTAAAAGTTATAAAGGACTGTAGTGGTTTTTGATGCTCATCTAGCTCATTGGTCTGGAACCTCTTAATTACTGGGGCACCATTTGATTAGGCTTCAGCAGCCTGGGTTTGTATTGTCCTCGTTAGGTGTGAACTGAGGCAAATAAAAAGCCCCTGCTTTGTTTAGTTTTTTTATTTTTTTTTTTTCTATTTTGGTGAGGGGGTTGGGTTTTTTTTTTTTGTTGTTTGAGACTGAATTAAAATTTAGCCACATCCAGGAGGCATGTGGATTAGGCCTATTGCTCCAAAGCAATCTAAGCTCTTTAAAAGTGGAAAAATAAACACAAAAAAGGGCAGAGCTCCTCCCAGAAGTGTCGATGCCATGAAAAACATTTTTCTTTTCGCTCAGTCACTTGCTGCTTCAGAGAGGGGCTAAAGAATGTTTACATGGCCCCTGTGGAAGGTGCCACAGGAACCAGCACCTGCTGATGMATTATTCACCCTGAGATACCCCAAAAATAAGTCTTCTGCTTGRGTTGTCTGGCATGGTGGTGTTCCCTGCAACAATCTTTTCCCAGCACAGCCACGCTTTGCTTTTCTGTGTCCTCCTGCACTCTGCTGTTGTATTCATTGAGCTTTCCTTAATAACAAAATCAAATTAATTTTTAGATCCTTGTGGGTGTTGGTCAAAAACCGACTCTTGCTTTCAGGCTCTGGTCTCTGTTGTTCAGTAAGTCACTTAGATTGTTTTATTGGGTATTTGTTTTCTGTAAATCATATGAGTGATATAAAACACTGAACAACCACTTAAAGAGTAACCACAACAGTTCCTGTTACAGTTCTTAGACTTTTAAAAATACACCTCTTCTGGATAAAAGTCACAGACTTGTTTTCAAGGTGGATTTTCTGTAGGCTCTATTTTTGCTGGCTCTGAAAATGTTTCTTTCTGGATTGAATGACTCAAAGGGAACATTCAGTTTTGGTGTGAGGTTTGTTTTTCTCCCTCTGAAATATAGTTGAATTGTGAGACAGAGCTATTTATTAAAACAGAATGCAGTTCATGTGCAGTGAAATCTTTTTTGAATATTTTGAAATACTATAGAACAAGCTYAGGATAGTTCAGGAGGAAAGTCTGCTGCTGCTGGGTTTTTTTGGCGGGGGGTTGTGTGTGTAGTTCTGTTTCAAATCAATCTCTGCTTCAAGGCATTTTTTTTCATTTTGAAAAGCTGCAGAGAGAGATAATAGTTCACTCAGTGCTATGATTTTTTCTTAGCAAATAGGTTGGTTGAAAAAATAGATCAATTAGTAGATTGCATGTAGGCAGACTGCTGCATCCTTCTAGTTGTTTCAGGTTTATTAATGAAACCAAAAGCAGAGAAAAATTCTACCTGCTTTCTGGAAAGCATGGAGGAAACAACCCCGCCAAAAAGCCAAGTAAGCAGCTTTTCTAGCAACAGTGCTGAGGTCAGGAGTCTGGGTTTTGTAAWGTCTTATTCTGCCCTTAAATTTCCATCCTCAGTCATCTTTGCATTCAGAGCTGAAACTTCTTTTTAGACTGTGAATAGGTGCAGGCCCTAAAACTTTTGGGTCTGCAAAAGATACCTGWTAGTCTGTGGTGGAGGATGTTTGGGTGCTGCAGCTATCCTGTTCTTGCTTTTAAAGAAAAAAAAAATCCTATTCTACCTGTTCCCTTCTTTCTGCTTTATGTGGCTTTTTCCCAGTTAGGTGAGATTGTTTTTTTTCTAATGAAAAATCTTGTGCCTGAAGCCAGGGCAAGGCATCTGTGCTTATAAATCAGGGTCCAAGCTGACCTCTCTGCTTGGCYCCTCCTGGCCTTTTGCCCCATCTTTTCTTTGGTCTCCCAACCTTTCCTGCATCTTGCACTCTTCTTTTCAAGCCTTTCTCAGGTGGTTTCAGGATCCTGCAGCAGTGATGTGTCATCAGGAGATGAGCTGAGCTCCTCTCTTTGCTGTTTTTCAGCCCCAGTGGCATCATTAAAATCATTTGTCTCCATATKGACTTCTTGTCTAGGAAGTGCTCAGACACTTTGGGGTTGGACCTGTGCTTTCTACTCCAGCCTTGTTGCCTCCTGTGCTGCCCTGCTAGCCAGGCTGCCAGTTCACTCTGGCCCTTGTTGTATCCTGCAAGCCTTATCTGTCCCTGTTATTATCTTTTCTTTCATCATTCCTTGCCTGCATTTTCAGCTCCTTGTATCAAGCTCCCTCATCTGCCTGCTGTGAGTCTTGGCCTCAAAYCCCCATTAACCCCTGCCCTACTAACCCACTCCTTGTTTGTCCCCCCATTGCTCAGAGCAGCCCTGGGGTGACCCCAGAGAGCAGATTTGTGACCCTCCCAGAGCACACAGTGATGGCAGGTGCAGGCACCAGCGGAGAGAGCACCGAGGAGCCCCCTCGCCTGTGCCTGGCAGTGCCCCCAAACACGGGCACTCCGCCTCAGAGGGCCATCGGAGGTCTCCTCAGCTGAGGGAGGCCAGCAATGGCCATCAGCAGGAGTGGAAGCCAACCAGCCAGGGAAGGTCCAGGAGACATCCCAGCCTTGATCTGGAAGGAGAGACTGAGCACCGAGCCTATGATCACAGCCATAGCTGGGAGCCACGGGACAGGAGGACACCTGGCAGGGAGAGGGTGAGGAGACCGCTCAGTCTGGACCTGGAATCAGAGCACGGACTCTCGGAGGAAACACGGCACAGCAGAAAGCCACCAAGGCAAGACAGAGAAAAGCACCTTCCCCTTCTGGAGATAGAGCTGGAGGCGGAGCAGGAGAGCTGGCATCGGGGTGGCAGGCAGCACCCTGAGAAACACAAATCTCGCCATCAGGGCCACTTGTCACATAGGATGGCACATGATGAGAAGCTCTATGATGCTGAATCTAGAGAAGACCATAGGAGGCACGAGGCAAGAGCCTACAAAAGGGCAGGACACAGGAGACACTCCCCCTCCCCTCATGCTGTGAGGCAGGGGAAGGTTGGAGACTGCCAGCGAGACTCAGGTAACCAAGTGTTGGGGAAGGTGTGTGTATATGTGGGGATGGACCTTTGCGTGCTCCATACTGCTGTGTGAGAYATGTGCTGCTTCCTTGGAAGATGCTTTTCTCCAGTGTCTGCCTACAATGTGGACACAGTGAATCTTGCCCAGGTTTCTCCCTCATTTAGCAGGATTCTTCTTATCCATTGATGTTCTTACTCTGTTTATGTCSTGATGTTCCATGGCATTGGAGAGGATGAGTAAGAAGGTATTGTTGGAAATGGTGCCCTTGGTATCCTGGGATTTAAGAAAACAAATTTCTCTCTCCCAACCAAAAAAACCTAAACACTACCCTCAAAGAAAACCCCCCAAAGAACCCCAACCAACCAATCCCCAGCTTTTGTTTAGTAATACATGTTGTGCAGTGGTCTCCTTGTGCAGGAGAAAAAAAGTAACAAAACCCTGAATGCTAACTTATGATTATGCTTTGTTGAGTTACTGTAAGTGAGGACACTTCACTTAAAGACTAAAAAAGCAGCAGTTTTCATCCACTTCTTACTGAAAACCCTGCTGGCAATTWATTCATTTTGGGCAAAGTTCAGTASTGGCACTGGGCGTCCAACTGGGTTCTATTTGTAAGGTGGCATTCTTGCCAAATTCTGTACAAGTGGTATTTTATTTTATGGGAAGGGTATGCCTGTGTAGTTCTTGTTCAACAGCACTTGGRGGTTGGGGGCTTTAAAGATYCAGATCCATCTTTGTGCTTTTAAASCCAYAGTGGAAGTAGGGGTGACCTAGTGAGAGAAGGAGTTTAGAGRCTTGGATCTATGTCTGTCCAAGTGTGGGGCAGCTTATGCTTTAAGCCATCTGACTGATCTTTACATGGATAAGGTGAGGATGATAATGTGTATCTGGAGATACTGGGATAATTATCCTTTCTCCTTATGATACAAAGACTTTCTTTAGGGAACTAGGTGTTAATCAGCTTGAGCTTTAAAATAACCAAACTCTACTCAAAACAAGAATTGAACATTCTATGAGCTTCAAAAATGTTTGTTTGTCTGTTTTCTCATTTARTTGTAAAATTCATGGGTTATCCCAAGGAAGAAATTGTCTGAAAACTCATGTGAGCCTGTCCCAGCCACGCTGCTCCAGCAGCGTGTTCAGACCCTGCTGTACTCACATCAGATGTTGGGCTGCTCTCTGCTGCCCAGTTTTGCCAGTGTATCTGCATCAATGCAGACTGGCAAATTACAATTCCTTTGCTGGCATTGCTGTCACCAAAGACTTCTTCAAGGGACATGGCCTGTTCTGCCATGGAGTTGCATTTGTTAGCTAAAACATGGTGTGTCAGATATTTCTGTGTGCATAGAGAAACCTYCATAAGTTGTGTGCTGCATCTCAGCTAAAGATGCTCTCAAACCAGCAGTGTGGCAGGTATGTTACAGTGCTCTCTCATTCTTGCAGGTGGCTGAAGAGATGGTGGGGATCTCCTTACCAAAGCTTTTGGAGAATGGTTGTGTTGATTGTTTTCTCTCACAATTTTGTAGGCACTAATTTGAGGGGAATGAAACAAGGCATGTATGATGCACCCCGAATGGAACAGGAGCTGTCTGATGCAGAGATTGCTCGGAAGCTGCAGGAGGAAGAGCTCCTGGTAAGTAGAAAGGATGCATTGGTCAACTCAAGGGAGCAAAGACAGCCAGCAATGGCAACATTTATTTGCAAATCTTTGGTATATGAGAGTGACTATAAGACCTTAGGTCTTGCTCCTGTGCATTCTGCTAATTAGCTTTGTGTTCCGTACACACGAATATGGAGTGACAGCTGGCTTCCAGCTAGTAAAACCACATTTTTTTAGTAAAACACCCCAAAATTAAAGTATTGAAGCAGAGTGATATTAAATGAATGTTTCCAGGCAGGTAAAGATGGCCTGTAGTTAAGTGTGATCAGCTTACAAGTGAGACAGACCAGTGCCCATCTTTGGGACAGAGGGCAGCAGAGTGGGAAATGCATTGTGGTGTGGCCTGGCAAATACACGAGGGCAAAATTCAGCTGAAATGGCAGTTTGGTGTTGGGTTGTGAGGTAAGTATTGAGGTAGCTAAGTATATTTGGAGAGGATGGTGTGTTTGTGTGGGCACCTACTTGCCCTGCCCAGTATGTTAATGAATATGAATAATTCAGAAATGTTACTTTTTTTTTCTCTGTTTTTTCTTCCCCACATTTTTTTTTCTCAGGCTAATGAAGCAGATCAGAAGGCAGCTCAAGTAGCCCAAGATGAGGTGAGCAACAAGTCAAATACTTACAGAAGCTGCTAAGCACCCCTTGTCTCCTCTGATCCTCTTGTTGTTAATTTGTCTCCTTGTTAGGGGAAGCTTGGGGCTTCGGTGGGATTTTCTCTCAGATGGTTTCATGGCTTAGGCTGGCCAAGCAGGGAGTTGCATTGCCTGTTGCAGCCATGACAAAGAAGGAAGTTCATGGTTCTGTAAGAGCATTTCTTGTAGCTGAGCCCCATGGGAGGCTATCCAAGATGCTGTGAGATGAACCACCAACCCCTTTAAGGAAAAGGGACAGAGGGTAGAAAAGGATAGAGGGCAAAAGCAGTTCTGACAAATCAGGGAGCTACTGGGCATGCTGCATRTCACCAGCCTTAACTTTGCCCTGTCCCTTGATTTCTGATCACACATGGGTGAAATCCTGGGTTTGCACCCTTCCCATTCAGCAGCTAACTATGGGAAGGGTTTGAATAGCTCAAACCCACAAGAGCAGTAAAATTGTCTGACAGAGTCTGTGTTTCCCTTCTAGGAAATWGCTCGGCTCTTGATGGCTGAGGAGAAAAAGGCTTTAAGAAAAGAGAAAGAAAGAGAAAAGTCTTCCTTTGAAAAGAGGAGGCATGATCAAGATTGGAAGGTATGCCAAGCTTCAGGAGGCACCACAGATAAGGTGCTRTAACGTTATTCCCATTTCCAGAGGGAGGTGAGTGTGTGTGATGAGAACAAAAGGTGGTGATGCTTCTAAAGGGTCTTGCTGTCTGTTATTCAGCTGCTTCCCGAGCCTTTTGGAGCCACCTCCTTGGTTAGATTTTTTGGCTTCAGCCTCAAACAAGATAATCCTTGGGCTCTGGCCTTGGAGGATGGCGCTGGATGTCACAACACCTTTGTAGCCTCCCTGAAGCATTGTGAGTCCCTGGTGCAGGACCTTTCCTTTGCTGAAATCCCCACTGCAGCAATAGCAGTAGATGGTTCTGTTTGTGTAAGGACAGTGCAGTTGCTTCAGTAGTCATTCTGCCTCATAACTGGCTGTGCAATGAAAGTCACGGGTCTGTCGTGCCTGGGTTTTTGTAGGAGTAATACCAGAGAGCTTGGCTGGCCAGCATGGAAGGGGATAGGAAACAGATTTTATGGTCAGCACTGCTAAGGTGCTAAAGGGGATGTGGTGTTAATCTTGGGGTCAGAAGGAGGCAGCTCTGGTGTTTTCAGCCTCCTTACTGTGCTTCTGTGGTTGCAGGAACACAGCTGCCTGCAGCTGGCCCTTCCTGCTCAGCCCAACCTTGTGCACAGTCATTACAGATAGACTGTGTTCAATCCCAGCTGAGGAACAGTCCTTCAGTGCTGTCACGTATTTAATGCAAAAGTTTAGTTTAGCTCAGCAAGACTGGGTTTTGTTTACTGAAAGYGAGTCCTGATGCTGCCATTTGCATGCCTGGCTGTTGTTAATTGCGTGTGTAAACCAAGCATGAAAGGACTGCGTGGAGTGAAGCAGCCCCAGTGCACTGGCTGATGTTTTGCAAAGCACACACACAGATAAGCTGATTTCCCTTCTTTCCATCAGCCTGATGCCAGTGAGGCCACGCGCTCGAGGTTGAGGGAAGGGCCTGAAACTCAGCGACACAGAAGTGACAGGTCTTCAAGGTGAGCTTGAACTGGCTGGCAAGAATGGGGAATGCATTGGGAAGCTGAGTCCTTGGGAGGAGCTGTGGGACCCTGACCTTGACCCACCCACACGGGGCTCGGCGGAGCACAGAGCTCATGAGGTGTCTGGTGACGTGCGTCACTCACTGTGCTCGTGGCACTTGTCCATATTGGTCTCCATGCCCRGTGCTGACAGGGATTGATGAGCTTGTGCAGTGACATTTGTTAAATGGCAGGGAAACATTGAGAGGGTTAAACAGCTCCTGGGGATGTGGAACCAGATGTCATTCCTGGGCAGGAAGGACTAATGAGTAATCACCATGCGTTTGCACAGCTGCTCCCTTGGGTCCTCGCTCCCAGTTAAGCCCTGTACACAGCTCCCACTGCTGCATGTGGATACCCCCTGCAAGCAAGGGGGTTGTGCTTTGGGGTGCCTCATCCTGAACTGGGAACATGCTGTAGCCCAGTGCTGCTTCTGAATCACGTGGTACTCTGGCTCAGTGCCCTTCATGAGGGAATGAACCCTGGAAATGACCTCAGTGGCTTTGATTTCCATTCCAGAAAGGAACCTAGAAGTTCTTTTGAATTTGCAAAACAACAAATGGGRTGTGCAGGTGGAGACTGAGAGGAATCATATTAGAATGTTCTGGGGGAAAACTAGAAGCATTACCCACTTTAAAATGCTGCTCTTTTGAGTGAARTTTGCAGCAAACTTCATAATGGAAATTCTTTATTTGCTGACGACTTAAACCATTATTAAGTGAAAGAGGTMCATGAGAAGCAGTAAATACTCTGCATTTCTCACTGCAGAAACAGTAATGGGCTGTGCTCAGAGGAGCTGTTCTGCAGGCAGAAGCTCTGGGCCAGGCCAGGTTTGTATCAAACTGACAGTAACAGACCAGASAGCTGAGATGTTGCTCTTACTGCACTGTTGTGCCTTTGAGTTACTTCCCAACACTCCTTTCCCCTGTGCTTGGCAGGTCACAGCCTCTCCTCGATGACTATGAACACTCTCGGTATTACACAAACCAGCCCAGCCCCTTGCGCCAGATCCCCAAACCTGAGCACTCTCCTAAAGGTAAGATCAACYCCAGGGCTGCCCAGCACTGGTTATTGTGAGCTGCTTTCCTCACACTAGCAGTCTGCAGGGCACAGAGAGTTTGAAAGATGTGAATAGAGAAGAGGAGTGGGAATTAGTGCTCCAGCAGGCAGGTGATGCTGTGCAGTGTTTGAGTTGGACTTGCTGAGCACGTTGCAGGCTCAGAGACTGAAAAACTGAATTGGTTTGCCTGAAATTTGTCAGGGKTCTGTCTGCATGTCCTCTGTGATCTCTTAATGATGAATGACTGGAAATCCAGGTAGCAGATTATGGAGAAATGACATGAAGAYGGTATTATGATGGATTTTAGGTGACTCACTAGAATCAAACAATCCAGTACAAGACAGAACCTGACAGTATCACCTGTCTGGTGAGCAGATGGGATGATCAGACAGAAACTTGCCCTGAGAGCAGGCTAGTTTTGTTCCTGTAGCATTTCAGCAGTGCTTTGTTGGTTTGTTTCCTGAAATGGCTTGGCACAGAGCAGTGTTGGTAAAGTCTCTCCTGCAGCTGTTTTAAATCTGAATGCCCATTGTCTGAGTTATCTATAGTGYCTCRGGGRAAGGAAAGGGCAGTCAGAGTTTAAYTSARTCTCAGATTTCTTACAGCTCCACTATTGACGCTCAAACGTGGACRCTCTCCAAAATTTAAAGTTGGTAAACTTACGTTGTGTCTTCATCAAGGAAGCTGGAAAGTTGATGGCACTTYATAGGGTCAGTTTGCTTTAGTGAGATGGTGCAGTGGGGCTGCAGCACCATTCACACCCTAGAAGAAATGCACATCTGGCTGTCTTGTGGATCTATCCTTCYTTTTGCTTGTGTAATGTAACATATTGTTCCAATTATGGCCATTAACTTTGCCAGTACTCTGSAAGTCAGACAGACAAGAGGTCAGGACGGGACAGGTAAAATAAGAATGCAGGTAGTATTTTTTTCACCAGGATCTAGCCTCACAGATTGTCTCCTGTTTTGTTTTCCAGGTTCCCGTAGGAAGCAGTAAGCTGTGTTGGCCTTTGCTTTGGTACTGACTCTTCTGTAGCAAACATTACTGGAATTGCCAGGCAACTTTCTCAATTCCTGACCTGATGGGAGGCCCACCCTCCACTCCCAGGATCATCTCTTTAAGTGTCATCATATTAAGGAAAATCGTTCATTTCAATTTCTCACTCGTCTGTGATGGTTTGAGCAGTGCAGTATAATCTAGCTGCCACTGAGCTGTGCAGATCAACCAGCTGGCTCAACAGCTCCTTCATACATTCTTTTGAGGCTTTCCTTCTATTTTTGAGCTTTGGCTGGAGCTTTGACAAATAGGACAAATTGAGATGCATGTACAATAGAGGAAAATTGAAGAAATGAGCAGGGTTGTGGCAATGCAACAGAACGTCAGGAGTACAAGTCCTTCTGCATTAGGATAACTTAGCAAAGAGAATTATAAGAGGAAATGTGTTTCTTCCTGTGTTGGATAGGATGGCTGAGCCAACCTGACAGTCATATGAGCTTGCAGGAAGGAGAAAGCATTTTTAAACACATACYAGCAAAAGCCAAACCCTGAGACTGGTGAGGAAGAAATTGCTTATGAAACAGAATTTTTTAACTGCTGTATTTCTTTCTAGGGTTTCCAACAATGTGAATAGAGTGTGTATAGGCATTTAGCTCCAGGATATAGGATAGAACAGTTAAAAGGAAAGAATTTCAACTGACATTAGACCTTGTATGCATGACTTTTAAGATTTGCTAGGGAGTTCAAGAAGCTGTGAGCTGTGGTTTRGGTAGGCTCATACAAACACATCTATATGTCTGAAGGAACTTTTGTGGTCACCTGCTTTGAGCTTCGGTGTGGTAGAARCCAAGGAATTTCACTGAAGCCAAGTAGGATCTCCTGTAACTCTTAGCTCAGTTGCTGATGCCCTTGAGTAGAGTAACTCGTTTCTGAGCTTGGATACATCTTGTAAACACGGGGCTGAAGGAGGGAGGCATTGAGCATCAAATTCAAATCTACAGTTTCAGGCAACCTGAGCCAGACACGGAGTGCCAAACAGTCCACACCATGTCTGTGCTGACTGCTTTTCTTCTCCACTGCTCCGTCCAGCACCSCAGGCAGACTCCAGTCAGGAATAACAAAATCCTTGCTCTCTAGGCTGTAGCAGGGTCTGCAGGTTTGTTGTCTGTATAGATTTTCCCATGCAGTGATTCCTTCCACTCTTTGAAAATAATGCAGTGATTCCCTCCTGGCTTGTTTTTCCTCCACTCTTTGAAAATAATTTTTCTCTTGCACAGAATAGTAGCCTTTTCCCTTAGCTTCCTCTCATTTAAATTCTTTTGTCTTTTTCATGTTTTTTCTTTTGCCATTATTTTCAGGTGTGTTTTTAAACTACAAAGCTAAACATCTGGACACTGGCTTGGAGTCTGTCCTGCCAGGCCAGCGTGGTTATTCATGGGCCAGCCCAGTTCATGGCAGTGAGCTTGGCTGCCTTGCCCCTGCAGCCCAACTTCCTCAGAGCCAGCACTGAGTCTGTCTCATCGCCTCTCTGTTGTCTCTGGCAGCCACAGGTCAGTCTCTGGCTCTGCAGAGGAGGGGAGACACCTGTGCCTGGGGCATGGAAACATGGACTTGCCCTCCCCACTGTTCTGCCTGGRAAGGGGCCTTGACAGCTCTCTGGAGCTTTGTGGGGAGCACCTCTAGGAAACAGGAAGAGATCATGGCTGTCTGCTGTTTCTCTGGTGCACAACTCAAGCCCTGAGGCAGCTGTACAGCTTTAACCTTGGCTGTTGTCCTTGGTCARGGCAGTTACTGGGCCAAATCACTGGGAAGACAGGGCAGCTCCTTTTTCACATAAATTCAGGGGCAAGTTTAATACCACATCACAAGCCCATGTCTTGCCTTGACCAACAACTCGAGAAACTTCCATCTCCTACCCCTCCGTGCCTGTTGGCAGTTCAGTATCTGTGAAGAACCATATAACCCCTGTTAGATCTCTCCTCCAGGGAAACACTAACCAAAAACCTTGCCATGTAGGATTTCGTGTATGGGCAGAATCCTGCTACCTGCATACCCTTGCTTCCAGACTGTGAGCTCACCTGCCTGCATGGGCCCCGAAGTGACTTGCAAGGTCTTGCTTGCTTGCYGCTGCTTCTCAGGAAATAGCCCAGTCAGCAGCTAGATTTTACTTCCTTGCCTTGTTCCCAGTTCTTGTTCTCTCTCTGTCCATTCAGAAGTGTTGAAGTTTAAAAGGATCCAGAAAAATAACAACATGGATGCTATTTTTTTCTTTTTTTTTTTCTTGTTTGAGAACTTGGCCCAGTGTGGCAACCTCATCTACCAAGGTTTTGTTGTGTAAAAATTAATTTTTGTATTTCATGTTACAGTCAAAATTTCTGTGCTGAAAATTCCTTTTTTTTTTTTTTTTTTTTTNTGTGGGCTTTTTTCTTCCGTTGCCATCAGAGTAATTATTGTTGTGAGATGGATGCCTGGTGCAGTTGTAAGAATTAACACTTCTTACAAACACCCTAGTCCAGGCACTGCTGCTTGTACTACCTGGTGCACTTGTGAGAACTGGATGGAGAAAAGTCCTACCGAATCAGAAAGTGGCTGAGCTTGAGGAAAACTGGTGACTCTYTGCAGAAGGAAAGGGGAAATCACCAACTAGGAATTCAGCCCTCCATGGGCCTCTGTATCTGGCTGTGATGGACTTTCTTGCACTGCAGTTGGCTGGTGTAGCTTTTGTCTTAATCTAATCAGAGAAGTTATGAAGATCCAGAGCCCTCTGACATTTGAAGAACCTGTTAATTCAGGAGGGAGGCTTGGGAGTATCCAAGTTTTGGCTTCAGTGGTAGTGAGTAGAAATGTGAGAGAAAACTGGTTAATTTAGTTTAGAAGCTGGGTAGAGTCTGAAGGACACCTCAGTGCCTCCTCTGTGGGGCTGTAGGATCTCCTTGGTGGACTCCTCCAGCCATGGCACCAAGAGACAAGAGCCCAAGAAAAGGATCCCAGGAGCAGTTGSTGCTTCCTTGGATGCCTTTGGGGAGTGCTGAATGCTTTATGGGCTGCTCTGCTCTGTATCCTCCCTTAATCTTTATCTTTTTATCCTTACTCCCTACCTTTATTCATTTGCTGTCCCTTTTTCTCCTGTATTATTACTCCATAGCCCTTGCAAATAGAGGGGCCCTAAAGGTTTGTCTKGAAGGRGCAGAGGAATGCTAGGAATGGCAGCTGAGGAAAGCAGGGAGTAAATGGGATAAGAACACAGCAGTTTTTCCTCTGATACGTGTTAGGATCCTCATGCAGCCAGACAGGTTAGAGACCTTCTCATGCAAAGGTTGCAACTGGACTTGCATATTTAGTGACCACTTTTGGAAAGGGATTCCATGGTCCCACTGAAGTCAACAAGAGTTAAGATCATGGATAAACAAAGAGCCACTTCCCTTGGGTCTCAGCAGCTGCATCTCTACTGAGAGTCAAGAAGATGCAGCTTGTGTGGGTGAGAAGCAAAATCAGCACCTTGTACRTGTGTCCCTGGAAAGGGGCACAATGAAGCTGATCTTTCAAAAAGRAACACTCAGAGCAATATTTCTTTCCTATGACAGAAAAATGTTTAAGTTTCTTGATTTTTTTTTTTTTACTTGTTTACTCTTACCAAGTTTTGGTAGCTTTGCCTATGGGTTTGCTCTGGATTTAGTAGCATTTTGCAGCCCTTGCTGGGACCCCTGTCCAATTGTTAGGGTCCTGCATCCCTTTCTGAAYCTGTGCATTACCAAGGCATTCAGCACCGCGTGGAAAACTCATCTCCTTGAAATCCTGGCACTTCCTGACCTTCCTAGTAGGCACATCTCAGCAGCAAGAGCTCTCACCATCTCCTCACCTCCGTCCAAAGCACAATGGCCTGCAGAAGAGGGGTCGGGTGACTTGGAGGGATCGTGCCTTACACGCAGGGATACTCGATGTCTTCAGCAGGCTGACCTGAGTCACCTTGCTATGAAACACTGTCTTAATGTGGACTGTACAGCTGCCTGCAGCAAGAAGCAGTTTTCATCACAGGGATAGATCCAACAGGTTGATTTCATYTTTTTTAAAGAACTTCATGGGTTTGAACTTGGTGGGGTGAGGAAGTATCAGCTGTTAAGGGATAAATGAATTCTCATCATTGAATTTCTCCTCTTGGGGAAGAAGGATAGAAGTTACAGATGCTGCATTCTGCTTCTCTCTATAAAAGGGATCTTGTATGTACAGTATTTTTATATCTCTGCATTCCCACCTATCAGGATTTGAATCAGGATTGGTAACATTCTCTACTTATGGAGAAAAATGGGTTGTTATTTTTACAGTGCTAGACCTCTGTTTATTTCGTGCCAAATTACAGCCACTGTTACATTCTAGTGTTTTCATTCATTTTATTGCTGTTGATCAATGTGTATATTATATATTTTTATTATCAAGGTTTTTATTTTAATTCATATCCTGTATGCAAACTAACTGTGGATTGCTAATTTATCTATATGTAAAGGGGAGCACTTGGAGACAGTGTGAGGATTCCCCTACTTAGTTTACACTCTTGTAATTGAGCACAGCCAGTCCACGAAACTAATTTCTTCCTTCACAGAGCAACCTCCTGGGTGTTTGTCCCCYGAGCAGATGGCTCCTGCTGTCCCTCCTGGCAGCAGTGACACTGCAGGACTGGGTGAGATGCGATAGGAATYGGAGCACAATTCCCAGCTGAGCTGTCCTGTGCCTGGCAGTGGTGCCAGGGCGGGTGCTGCAGCAGGGATTCCCAGCAGGATGGGGGTGTCTTTGGGGTTTGCTCTGTATCCATCCCCAGCCGATGGACAGTTGATTATGCCCCAGTCTCCCAAGATGYTCAGGGCTTAGTTTTGCAGTTGCTTTGGGAGGTGGGTGAGGGACATTGTCCCTTGCACAGAAGCATGCCACAGGCAGCTTGTCTTCTTTTTGTTGCAGAGGACAGGCATAGACTTGCAGAGATCCCAGTTTACTGCACTCCYTCAATGCATCTGTGGCCRTGCTGCACTGCTGGGGAGACTGGGKGCCACTTGGACTGCCCTGCCCAGGACAGGCTGTGGGRCATGGATTTCATGTTCAGGAGCTGCCCCAGCCTCAGCTTCTGGGCTGGAGATACTATCAGCCACCTCCTCCCCATCAGTAGCACAGGGCAAGGCTTAGCTGGGCAGAGTCCCAGAGAGGACAGTGGCACACACAARTGAGTATTTTCTACTTCATGGTAAACAAGTTCCACTGTATCAGTGTTCACTCAAGTAGACTCCATGGTCTGTCTCCAGCTGCATCTGTGCACTGCAATATAGTTAATTGCCTCAGATAAATAACTGCAGTTGTCTCATTTAGCTCTTCAGGGTAAACTTTCAGCCTGTTGAATCTCAATATTAGCCATGCGATGWGGTGGATTAGTCAGGAGGCTTAAATTCCTCAGAGCTGCAAGTGTATCCTGCGTTGTAACAGCTAATCCTTAAATATGAATTGCACACTGACAACAATCTGTCTATGCAAGCCTATTCTTGGTTTTATTTTTTGACTGTTCACTCTATAATTTTACCAGGTTTGGCATAGAACTTCTGAATGACATTTAACCAAAGTATCATGTCTGTGTGTGYGTGTATGTATAGCATGTTTTGCTTCATACTCCTGAATTGTCATTGAATGTAAAGGGAACATTGCCTTGCCCCRTTTTGTTCAATAAACCGCTGTATTTTGTTACCCACCTCATCTTTCTGTCCCTCTGTGTGCTTTTCTGGAWACCTAAGTGGGTTACACAAAAGCAGGGGAAAATAAGACTTTGTTCCACCCTTTGTTCCTGAAGCTTAGCTGCTTCTACCAACAATTATGTTCTTCCACTGTAATAGATGTAGCAAACAAACAAATTTGTATTTAATTTGATTATTTTGTGGACAGACAGATGGAAAAAAGRCTATGTAATATCTTGGAAAATATCTGGACTGTTTCATTTCCTGAGACTGTGATACTGAAAAATAAAGCAGTATAATTATTTGCAAGGGTAGGATGCTCTTTCTTATTTCATTAATATAGCTTTTAAGTTTGCAAAAAGCCTGCCTGAAGATTCCCACAAACAACTCGTAGCTACAGTGGTGGGACAGAGTGCAAGAAGGAGACATGGCAAATGCCCTGGGACTGACTGCTGCCTTCAAAGGAGTCAGCTGAGGTTGCAGCCACATAGAGCTCAAACAGGAGCAGACCYGATCCCATTGAGGTGTCACAAACTCAGCTGGTGACTGAACATGCTAAAATAAAGAGAAGGTTACAAAATATAAACTGGATCTTGGATCTGCGCTGTTAACCTTTCTTAAATATTTATTAACTCATTTCTCTGTGCTTGCCAAGTGTAAGCATTCAGAGAGCCCTTTGGCATCCCAGCACAGGCTGCACCAGGCCTTCCTTCCACGGGCCAGAGGTTGGGCTGCACGAGTGGATTCTCTGACTCCCACTGAGTTCAGGTTTGGGCTAGGTTAGGGTCTGTGTCACACCACTACAGTGCTTTCGAGTGCCTTGATGTCACCGCTACCTCCCCCCAGCTGCATCTCAGAGTCCCTTGGGTATTAGTGAGTGGAAGCAGGAGTCAGCAAAGCAGAGATGGCTGGCAGTGGGAGAGCCTGCTTGTAAAAACGGCCCTGGGGAGTGCCGAGAGCTCTGCCAACTTACAGCCCATTGCAGCCTCTTGTCTGGAGTGACTGGCTTGGTCTGTTTTCTCTGAAAGGCTTCTTTCATGCCAGCCTTGGCACTTGTTGGAGCATTAGGCTGTGGTGGGAGCAGGGCCAGCTGGAGCCTTGAGAAATATCTTCCACCTGCTGCAGTGGTGTCCACACAGAACTGGGTGTGGGGACCACAGAAASAACACTGAAGAGCCCCTGGGGACCTTTTCCTGTACCTGAAAACTGGTCCATGAGTTTCTAAGCTGCACGCAGCTCTCTGGGGATATGCCATTGTAGATGGATCCATTGTGCCTCTGGTGATGGATCGAGGTTTTCTGGCTGTGAAAAAGCTCAGCCAGTGGAGGTTGCTGAAGGTCACCATTGCTGGGTGCCCTGACTGCTGACAAAAAAATAGATTTAGTAGATGAGACCTAGGATCAGGCTGCAAACCAAGYTTAAAGCAAGCAAAGAACTTGAGTCTGGCAGCTGTGTATTTATTGAATGCCTGTGCTTCCCTGACCCCAGAGAGCCCCAGACAAGCGCCCAAGCAGCTCTGCCAAAACCTGCTCCTGTTTCATGTTGTTGCTGGTGAGCAGCAGCTCAGAGTACTGACACCAGTTTTCACAGTCTCCTTTGCCCTGRCACTACTTTTGCTTAGTAATAGCTGCCATGCTGCCCCTTCCCCCACAGACAGACATCCTAACTCCYCCTCGATGATTCACCTCGTGGCCTTTTGGGGTCAGGCTTCAAACACGGCACAGTGAGCCCCTGGCTGCTCCTGAGGGATTGAAATCGTGCTGCACATGATTTCTACTTACGTGTAAACAGCGTAATGCCACRTCACAGGACAAGCTTTTCCTGGCTATTTTGGATTTGGGTGGTTTCTTATTTTACTGGAGATATTTGACATTTGCAGGGTTTAATTGTGAGCCATGTGTGTCTCACTAGTGGGGTTTATACCCAGGTGAGCAGAAGTGCAGCAACATCCCTTTCCTTGGGCTGAGCTTGGAGCTGGGAYGGGTTCTGACCCAAAAGTGCTCTACCCTGCTGCCTTCCTCTCCTCTTCATCCTCCCCAGGTCAGGCAGTGTCCAGAGAGCAGTGGCATGTGCATGACACCAGAGGCTGCCTGGGCAATGTGAGCTTTGTCCACCCAGACTGAAAAAGAGCTTTTACAGCTGCTGGTACAGCAGTAGGAGTTTACTCAGGGGAGCTGGAGTTTGGGGAGAGGACGAAATGAGCACATACTCAAGGTTTATTCCCACCGCTGGCACTGGCCGCCAGCTGCCAAACAGCACATCATCCCAGAAGGTTCTGCTCAGCCTGCCAAGGAACACATAAACCCCACTCAAGCACCTCCCTTGTGTGTTTTTATTTACTTGTTAATTGCTGACAACTGATGAAACACTGGAGGCCAGCCTGCAGGTGCCTGTTAATGCCCAGGAACATCCCTCCCATCAAGCACAGGCCGGTCTGGAGGAAGGGATTGCCTGCAGTCCCCTCTCCAAAGGCAAAGGGAGGCACCAAGAACAAGGGTTTCTCAGTGAATTTAGGAGGCTGACAGCAAACCCAGACAGCTTGGCCTACTGCAAAAGAACTCACCTTTGGGCAATGAGTGCTGAGCACAGACAGGACTGTCAGTGGTGCCACAGAACCTGGGAGAGGCAGGGCAGAGCATCCCACAGGAGGAGAGGGGTGCATTGCTGCCACACCTGAGGCAGAGAGCACCCACAGGTGCTGAGTGTGGCTGTGATCCCCTGGGGATGCCACAGTGCCAACTGTGTGGCACTAARGGGCTTTTGCCTTCAGATAAAGCTCCAGCACAGCTCACACTGACACCTCTGCACTCCTGACTCCCATGGAAATGTTTTGATGCCTCTACCCCACAATTACTGGGTGTATTAACAACATTTGCATTTCTCACATGAGTGAACTTTACTAAGTTTTAGTGCCAGCCATTGTGTGCAATCCAGTCGTTTTCGGTGAGAATCTTTTTCTCCCAAATATCTTTAAAAAGGGATGGGAAAAAGCCGTGACAGTTTATCTTCCAATCCAGCTCTCCCTTGAGAAMTGAAGAGCAGATTAAAAACAAATAGCTTGTTGAAAAATAGCGTGGACTAATAAATATAAATTTTAACAATTTTTGGGAGAAAAAAATATAAAAAAAGGAGTCAGGAAGGCGGAAAAGCGTTTTATTCTTCTTTTAAGTGATTATTTCTGCCCGCATGCCTGTCGGTGTGCAGTGCCCGGGATGCTCCAGCAGCTCGTTCTATCCCAGGGCTCTCTCTAGTGGCCGGAAAGGAAAGGCTCCCAGGGACACGCACCTGTGTGAGTCCCATATACCTTATTTTTTAAAAATATATATCATTTGACAGCGTCAGTGGTAGTAGCCATTGGCACCTAAACTATTTATAGCTTGAAGGGCAGTATGTGGGCTATTTTCTTATTTACAGTAGAACATCTTCTGTTTATCTCAATTACAGAAATTGCACGGAAAAAATGTGCATTCAACATCATTTTAATGATGTTGAACATGTGGCAAAGCCAAGCACTCAAAAACTTAAAAAAATAGCAGAATTGCAATAGTAGAAGCCCCTTTGCCAGCACACAGTGTAATCCAGGGAAGATCAGGGGCAGTGCTGTTCCCTGGACCCTTGCCTCACCCAGGGCAGCTCAGTGTGTGATAAGCTGTGAGTGGAGCTGCCATGACCTCAGATTTGGGGTGGCAGCCACAGGAATGCTGTTTGCTACCAATACAATACATCAGCTACCAGGACATTACAAAAAAAAAAAAAATAGAGTTGGAAAAGTTTTAATACCTTACATGAAGTTGAAACTCCCCAAAGAACAGGGAGTTCTGCTTGGCAAATAATACTCACTGAGCTCCAGCCAGGAACCAGAGTCTCCACCACCTTCTGCTAAAAGCTCTTAATGCACTGAACTGACTCCTCCCTTTTATCACCAGCCCTTCCCAGCTTGCTCTCCTGGGAAAAGGCCTTTTCACACCTAGAGAGACTCCTTTCCCCATCCTTCTGATAGATTTAAACTTTTCTCTCCTCTTSTTGTGTTTTGGTTTACTCTTTAGAGGATTAAAAATTGACTCTTACATACTAAAATTAATATTCTTGGTTACCTCCCCCATGTTTGTTGTAACTTTTGGTGTTAAATACCTCAGCCTGTGGTTCAAAGGCTGTAAATAGTTTTCTTAGGCTTGCAGTTCTTTCTGTGAGGTGCACATGTAAAGAAGAGGCAGTCTAGCTATAAAACAGCATCCTAATAACCCCAGATTTTTCTTCTGGTCTCCTTTGTTGTCTTTAATGGCTCTTCAGGAGCACAGATGTATCAATATGCCAGAATCCTGGGGATTTAGGCACATCACTATTCCTGCATCTAGTCCTTCTTTCAGTTTTTTTTGTGTCAGTCTTTATCCTTTACAGCTTAATTGGKTTCTGTGTTACTGAAAGCTGCTTACTACTTAAAGAGCATTGGAGAGTTGCATTGAAATATTTATGTCCAGTGCATTACTTCATTAAGGAAATGATCTAAAATGAATGGAGATTGAATTATGCCCAAAATGCCTATAAAACTGGATGCTGACTGATTACTTAATGGCTCTCCTGATATGTGATGCATTAGAGGTCTCTGCTSTCTTTAATTTTTCATGGGCTGAGCTCAGCCTGCAGCAACCCCAGACTGTTGGTTAATGGCATTTCCTTGTAACTAAGCATACTGCTCCTCTTTTTACCTCAACATGCATGGTGTTTTCATGATATATGAATTGAAGTGTCAAAGTGTGTTTTGTGCTTGAGAAAGTATTTGGGGTCACTAAAGGGATTATTCCTATTTCAGTGCCRGAAATGGGCCTGTTCTGAAAATCCTGCAGCAATTCTTGTGATGTGTTTTGCCTTGAGCCATGTAGGGGGAACTCTCACAAGTAGAGTGGTTGGGGCAAGAGAGTGGTTCTGTGGTTAAAGCTGAAGGAGCTTTATCTAGTGCCAGTCATTTAAAATAATATTTGAGCAGCAGAGAGCTTTTACCAAAGCTTGGTGTTCAGGGCTTTT